AGGCGAAGAAGAAGAGCTGGAGGGATTTCTGTGAGTCGGTGGAGGGGATATCGGCCACCGCCAGGCTTTGCAGATTCCTATCCAGGAACCCGGAGGCAGCGTTGGAAGCAGTCCGAGTGTCGGACGGTACCATGGCATCCGGAGAGAGATGCCTGGTGCACCTTCTGGAGACTAACTTTCCTGGTTTCCAGAGGGTTGTGGATAGATGCTGGGAAGTTGACGTGGATCCCTTTAGGACATGTGCCAACGATTGGAAATTAGCGGCCGAAATTGTGAGGCCAATCAAGGTCAGATGGGCGATTGGCTCTTTCCGATCATTCAAGTCGACGAGGCCCAACCTTGTGTTCCCGGCTCTCCTTTATAGAGGGCTGGAGCAAGTGTTCGGGCCCCTCACAAGGATGCTGAGAGCCTGTCTGGCCCTTGGGTACACCCCCCAGGCGTGGAGAAAGGCGAGAGTCGTTCCCCAAGGTGGGGCGAGCTAATTATGTCACTGCAAAGGACTTCAGACCGATCAGCTTGACCTCGTTCTTTCTTAAGACATTGGAAAAGCTGGTCGACGTGTACATCAGGGATTGTGTGCTGGCTCGGTATCCGTTGCATGCCGAGCAACACGCCTACCGGGCTGGCCACTCGAGCATATCGGCTCTCCACTCAATTGTCTATAAGATTGAAAAGCAGCTCCAGCAAGGAGGATTTTTAGTAGGTACTTTCCTGGACATTGAGGGGGCCTTCAACAACACTCCACATGAGGTAGTGTGTGCCGAGGTAGCAAGGCGGGGCGTACCGGTAAAGCTCGTGAAGTGGATCCGGAGAATGCTTGGACGTCAAATGACGACATCACTGGGTACGGAGAGTGTAGAAGGATGGGTGGGGAGAGGCTGTTCCCAAGGGGGGGTCCTCTCGCCACTCCTGTGGTGCTTAGTAGCGGATAGGCTGCTTAAAGAGCTTAATGGCAAGGGCTTCAAGACAATCGGGTACGCTGATGATTTAGTGATCCTGATAGGAGGCCCTTTCCTCGAAACTCTCCTTGAGCTCACACAAGGGACTCTAGGAGTGGTGGAAGAATGGTGTAAAAGGACAGGTCTGTCGGTTAATTCGAATAAGACAAGTCTGGTAATTTTCACCCACAAGTACAAAGTGGGCTCCGTGAAAGGGCCCGTTTTGGAAGGGGTCAGACTGACTCTCGAGACGTCAGTCAAGTATCTAGGAGTTATCCTGGATAAAAAACTGAATTGGAAGCTGCACCTGGAGGCGGTGTGCAGGAAGACCTGCACATATTTCTGGCTGTGCAGAAGAACCTTTGGGCAAAACTGGGGACTTCAGTCGGACAGAGTGCTCTGGCTATACTCAGTGGTGCTCCGGCCAAGACTGCTCTATGCTGCTGTGGTCTGGTGGCCAAAGACACAGCTGGCGGAAACTCGAGCATCGCTGGAACGCGTCAGAGCTCTTATTCTAAGAGGGGCTCTGGGAGCAATGAGGACAACGCCGGTGGCAGCAATGGGAGTGCTGCTCAGCATTGAACCACTCCATCTTGCGATAGTGGCGGCAGCGGCGGCCAATGCGCACAGGTTGAAGTGTGAGGGCAAATTTACGATCGGGGTGGGTCACACCCGGATACCATGGAAGATCCAGATGGAAACCGTGTTGGAAATGAGGCAAGACGGGATGCTAAGAAGGAGCGACTTCGATAGATCTTCCAAGATCTATCTGCCTAGTCGTGAGGAGTGGAAGAGGCACGAGGTACCCGCTGTTAGGAAAGGGGACGTCTGGTACACGGATGTCTCCAAGACTGACGGGAGCACCGGTGCCGGGATTTTTGGAAGCCATGGTGGATTCAGGGAAGCTCTCCCCCTCGGAGAATTCACCACGGTATTCCAAGCGGAGGTGGTGGCAATCATGAGCTGCGCTCAACTCTGATTGCGTCAGGAAAGACGGGCAAACGCATCAGGATTTGCTCGGATAAGGGTGGCGCCCAGTTGGACACGACTCAATTGGACACGAGCCACTCACAGCGCTTGAGACTACAAAGCTTTTAAGCACTGGTCGCTGTGATTGGTGGTGTCCAATCGAGCCGTGATCAATCGGGATCACCCCTCGGATAGCAGAGCGACCCTGGGGGCGCTGGGGGCGTGCGTCTTTGACTCGTGGCTAGTCTGGGGGTGCAAGGGTGCATTGGGCAGGCTTTCTGCGGACAATGACGTCGCTCTTGTGTGGCTCCCGGGGCACTTGGGAATCAAAGGCAATGAGATTGCTGATGAGCTAGCAAGAAGCGACTTATCAGCCAGTTTGGTGAAACCGGAACCGGCCCTTGGACTGCCCAACTGTAGTGGTAAGGCAAAAATAAGGGACTGGCTACGGGATCACCTACTGGAAGGAGAAAACAAAGACCAAGTGCCGGCAGGCAAGGGCCCTGCTGGGAGAGGTGCCTTGCTAGGAGTTTTAGGGCCTTAAGAAGAGGGGAGGTTAGGCTGGCGGTGCAAATCTACACGGGCCATGGTTTCATCAACTACCATATGCACAAGCTAGGGCTTAGTGATAACCCGAAGTGCGAACACGGAGAAGAGACTACTCTCCACGTCCTACGCGAATGTCCAGCGTATGCTGGACATAGGCGGCTTCTATTGGGCTCGATATTTCTCGAGCCCGAGCAGGTATGTCAACTCCAGGTCAAAGATCTCCTTCGCTTATGGAGGAAGATTGGTCTGAGCTGATCTAGGGTTAGTACGACTGGGAAGACATAATGGACCTAGTCTGCGTGTCGTTGGTGGGCCCCAACAGGAGGCTGCCTCCCGAGTTATTATTATTATTATTATTAATATTTACAATGAATGATAAAAATCTTAGCTTTTTAATATAAGTACATTATGTATTCAAGATTATCTCAAGTTATATATTGCGATGAATTAATCCAATAAATAAACAAAATATTTATTTAAATGATAAGGAGCATACAGCCACAACAATTATTTATGTTTGGTGCTCTTAGGCCGTCTTTAAAAGTAAAAAAAAAATTTATTTGTTTTGTATCTTTGTAACTAATCAATGAATCGCAATCGCTCATTTTTAACATTACCAATGCAATCCACTCAGCGCACAGCTCGTATAGGAAACCGTTCCGAATTCACAAGCGCTTCATGCGTGTTATGCGCGCATTGAAAAAACCGAACGATTTCGAAGCGTTGCGCATCAGTATTGCAGTCTACGCGCTTCATGCGTAACTCGGAACGCACCCTAAAGGATCATCTACAATAGGGATCCGTAACCGTAACGTAACCGTAATGGTACGTTAATGGTACGTTTCCACTGAGCGCGTCACCCTTCGCGTCGTCCATCGCGTCACGACGCGACGCGAAAGAGAGAAAGAGTGAAGTTTATATATGTGCACAACCCCTCTCTTTCTCCCTTTCGCGTCGCATCGTACGCGATGGACAATGCGACGCGCGACGCGCTCAGTGGAAACGTACCATTACGGTTATGTTATGGTTACGGATCCCTATTGTAGATGATCCTTTAAACGTTTTTAGATTACGTCTATTGAAGCAGAAGAATATACTACAGTACGTGCGCGATCTGATTGGTTAGCCTTTATTTCTTTCGCCGCATTGTGCAACGGGAGGCGATAGTTTATATATTTCTTATTTCTATATTATTCCTATCGCTATACTATCGCTATACCTGGCATTGTGTTTAGGCCTTAAGAATTTCAACCTACCAGAAACTGTGTATTCCACAATACATGATTTCTGATAAGTTGAAATTCTTATTCTCTGTTCTCTGTTCCTTTTATTGTGTGGAGCCCCTAATTTATCAGAAATCGGATATATCGGAATACACGACTTCTGATAGGTTGAAATCGTTTATTCTATATTCCTAATTCCTTATTCCTTCTATTGTACAGCCTAAAGGCCCGTCTACAATACACGGAGTAAGAAGTAAGAGTAAGAAATTGACCAATCACAGTCGAATGTGAAAAGAATAATCGACTGTGATTGGTCAATTTCTTACTCTTACTTCTTACTCCGTGTATTGTAGACGACGCCTAAGGGGCTGAGCACAATAGAGGAACAGGAATTAGAAATTAAGATTTCAACCTATCAGAAACTGATTACATCGAAATACACGGTTCCTGATAGGTTAAAATCTTAATATCTAAGGCGTCGTCTACAATACACGGAGTAAGAAGTAAGAGTAAGAAATTGACCAATCACATTCGATTATTCTTCTCACATTCGACTGTGATTGGTCAATTTCAGTCGAATGTGAGAAGAATAATTAACCAATCATGGTTGACACTTATTCGACTGATTAGCTTAATCGGATTGGTAAAACCAGGCATGTACTTTAAAAAACTTAATCGATCGATTAGTCTATTGAAATTGGCCAATCGCATCTGGCGTCAAACGAAATGACAATTGCGATTGGTTAATTCCAATGGACTAATCCACTAATCGACCGATTACGTTTATTAAAGTGACCCCTTTTTTATTCCTTCTATTATGGCTGCACCATTATAAAAAAAAGTATAATTAGAAAACATAAATAATAATTGCAAGATAATTGTCGCGTTTATTTTAGAAAAAAATCAAATTAGGAGAAATGTAAAAAAATTGCTCCTACATAATTATGTATAATTTTACATATATAATTATATATCAGCAATTTTTACATTTTTCCTAATTTGATTTTTTCTACAATAAACAATGCAAAAATTATTCTTGTAATTATTTTTTATTTTTTTCATTTTTAATATTTTTTTAATATTATATATATTCGTGAATGAAAAATTTTTTACCGGAATATAAATAATACAGCCATAAAATAATGAATTGTTTATCACTAGTAAAATACAGTGCGCGACGGCTCTGTGGTATGTTTTTTCTAAAAAGTCGTAGTCAACTTGTTTTTAATTTTTCAAAATTATATGTAATATTTATAAATATATCAACACTATTACAATATAAAAATACAAAAAAATATAATATACAATATACATGCTTGCAGACTATTTATAATTTTTGCTTAACTGGGCTGGAAGTGATTTTTTTCATTTTCGTCCCTTTCTTCTTTGCATTATCGCTTATCGCGTATGATCGTCTATTTATTTCTCGAACTCTTATATATGTGCGAATTTTTACTAAATAATGCAATACTTCATGAGGTACTTTATTCGCATAATGTCCACTGTTCTTCACGAGTGCCACAACCTTTTTTATCACAAGGCGCTCTTTTGAAAAATAGTTACCGTGGAAGTGTACAAAATATCTTTCAACAACTTTGGTCGCGTTTAAAAGTTCTGCTGAAGGATTGGTAAGATAATCTTTGGAGACAGTTTCAACCCATTTTGATGTAGTTCCACCTGCATCTTCAGTAGTTCCTAAAAATGGATATTTCGTTTTAAATTTATAAGCGACAAATCCTGCGATATATTCTAATCCCACTTCTTGTACAAGATTTAAGTAGTCAAATATGCCCTTAAAGCCATCCTTCATTATGTCAAATAGCTCATCATCATAAATATCATCGAAGCAAGTGTCAATCGTTGATTCATTATCATCATAATTACTGGCTTCTATTAATTCGTCCCGAGAAATATTAATAATATTAGAAAATAATTCTTTGGTTAGAATTATTTCGTCGGCGCATTCTTTTGTACGTTCGAGCATTTCTTCCTCTTGTAAAAAGCTATCATTTGAAGAGTACAGTGTCATTCCTCGAATTGGCATAAACGTGAGCTTCTGAGATGTATTTGCTTCTGCCGCTAAAGTCACTGGAGTTGCCAAAGTCATCGATTTTTTAGCACTTGGATTTGTCACATTGCTAATGGAAGAAGACATACAAATAGTATCTATGTCTTCTTCGGTGTTTCTGTTCAAAGTAAACATAGCTTGGGAATGATTACCGAGAATGTACCAACGAAGTCTATATCTAAAGTCATATGCTGAGAGATGATCCTTGGGCGTATCCATCGTCCTTAAATAAGTAAAGAAATTTTCCAGAACTTCTAGCTGAAGTCTTCTAGTGATGATATACTGGCAGTCCACTGGATATTTTGTTTGCAGATATTGGAACAATGCTCGTAGAGATCGATTGCTTACAACAATACCTTTTTGGAAAGGCATTAATGCCTTTCTAGAACCAACTCGAATGTTCTCGGTATATAAGGTCATCAACAGTAAAATTGACTCTTGTGTCTCCAAGTTTTGTCCAAAACCGTTGACTCCTGGATGCGATCCGTATCTTAATTTTGAATTATGCACATCGAACCACTTGTTGACTGTCGACACGAACTCTGAAAACTTCTCGTATTCCGAAGATTTCAAAAGTCCATGTTCGCCAGCCCAATGGATCGCTTTAGCAGTTGTATGCGACAAAATTCTTGCTGCTGATTTAACTGATTCACGTTGCGAACCACGAACATCTAGCAATTGCTGAGTAATACGATGAGCGACACGTAGACCGTCAACATTGCTGATATCGATAAGTGTCTGGAAGATTTCACGAGTAAATAGTTCTTTGCTATTTCCTAGTAACAGTCCATCGTCAAATAACCAATTTCTCAAGAGTTTCAGCAGATGTGGAACATCTGCAAAAACAAATACTTTTTCCCCTTCATTCACAGGATGATGGAAAAAGTACTTATTATATTTATAAGGGTTGATATCCAATTCTGTCCAGACTCCTCGGTTATCCATGTCTGAAACTATGGCAATTACTTGATAACCGGCACTGTACAAGAGTGTTATGGCCTCCAGTAGAATGCATTTGTTCATTGGTTGGTCAAATTTGTAATAAATTGGTTGTTTCCAATTGCTAAACAAACCGCGAACCATCATGACTTGCACTTTTCCATATGGGCCAACCAATTTTTCGAGTTTAACATCAAAATTTATTTCAGAAGAGACGGCCATTTCGTCGAAACTCAGAACAGCAAGTTTCTCTAGCGATGACAGTTCCTTGCCTTTCTCTCGCATTACAGTTAGAACGTCAGTTAAGAATCCTTCTTCAATACGGAACTTTTTTAATGCCCACCTTCTTAATGACGCTAACGATGGCAAAGGGTAATGCAATTTCGTTCGAAGATAGCAATAAGCTTTAGGACTTACACTCTGTAATGAAATGGCTGCAGCGTAGTCATCAATAGACCATTGAATCCATTTTTTTTTCTCCAAAATACACCGAATTTGCCCTTCTGTAAAGTATGGTTTTAATAGTCCTATGACATATTCTTCTCTTTCGTCTTCGAAAATCTTCTTGGCTGCAGTAGTGATCGCCAATTGTGTTTGATCGTTAATCAATTGCAGTATTTGATCTTTTTCAGCAGATATCTTTTTCAATTGTTCTTCTTTCTCTTGTAATTGTTGCTTCAATGTATCTAATTCCAGTGGTATTTGCATTGCAAAATCTGTACATTCTGATTTAATATGAAGTTCAGGCGATGAACAATGCTGTAATTCTGTTTTAAGGGACGTCACATCTACTTGTACATCGTACATTTCGGTTGGTTTTGAGTCATTGCTTTTGATGCTTTCGTTATGGTTCTCCATGGAAATTCTGAAAAGACGTTATCATATAATTTATAGTATTTAAAATAAAGCAAAATTCATATACATTAAATAAGAACATTTTTGTTGAAATTACACTTTTTTTAACTTTTAATAATATAAACACATTTATACATAAAATTGAAATATTTTTTCAAAATTTACTATTATTAAAACAAATTAATAAACCAAGGGAGCTCTCCTTATTATTATTAAATTTTGAAATACATTAATATATTTATATTATTGTACAAATAAAAAAATAAGTATAATTCCAACAAAAATTGGTAGGGTACATAGTGCATTTCGCGAGAAAATTTTGTTCATATTTCTGACGAGATATAAAAAGTACATATGAAAAAATAAATACTGTTGTCTACGTATTGATAAAGGGATAGTTTCCATGTTATAACATGTTACGGTTTCTTCTGGGATAACATTTGAATACGCCTTATCACGTTGTTTGTACTTTCTTGTAGGACTTGCTCTTCTGTTGTACACATATGGTTCAAATCTCGGTGATCTGTAAAAAAATCAGTAACAGTTGTATTTATTGATTAATGATTAAAATTTCAATCATCCTATCTTGATGAAAGCATTTCCGTACACAGCGTACCTTCTAGGAAATGTGTAACTGAACTCAGGATGTCATTACATGAAGCGCGAAAATGCGGAAACGCGGAAAACAAAATTAATTAAACTTTACTAGATTTCCGCGCGTTTTATTCCGCCTGTTTTAATCTCCTAATATTGCATGGAATACAATTTCCGTGGAAAAGCGGAACGGTATAGTGACAAATACATTTTGTATTCATTTAAAAAAATTGTATCACTTAATTTATTGCAATTTTTATTAATATGCTTATCTTTTCAGCTTATGTATTGAATACAAGCATTTTAATCAATAAATAATAATTGCTAATTCTCCATTCCGTTTCTCCACTCAAATTGTGCTCCATATAATATTAGGAGATTAAAACAGGTGAAATAGAATGCGCAGAAACGCAGAAATCTAGTAAAGTTTAGTTAATTTTGTCTTCTGCGTTTTCATGTTTCCGCATTTCCATGCTTTATGTAATGGCATCCTCAGTCCTAAGTGTGTATAATGTATTTGATGGTATATGAGTTACTTGATACGATTTGTTCAACCATAAATTACTGTATAAATATACGAAATATATTTAAATAACATTGATGATTAACAAAATCATGTGAATAGAGAAATGACATGAGAATTTTGCATTATGTGCGACCGCAGTCAAAAAATTATATAACAGTGTATGGAGGTCTGGAAATAACACCTTACTCTGAAAAGAATCACGTCACAAAGTTACATAACGAAATCATGTAATTAAAACGAGTAAATCACGTAACAGATGTTTCAAATCAGTACATCTTTTTAATATCACGTAATTTGAAAAATTACATAATATTAGAAATAATTCTATCCATCATGTGATTTTAGAGTTATCGAATTTTAAAGAATTAAATGATAGAAATAGAAGCAAAAAACATATCACCATACGACTTTTCAAATTATGTGATTTTAAAAAATCATGTACTGATTCGGAACAATCCGTTATATGATTTATTTGTCTTAATTACATGATTTTATTATGTAACTTTAAAATGTGATTTTTTTAGTAGGAGTATTGTTAGTATACAAATCATTTTTATTTTACCTTTTAGAACACACTGTTGATGCTGCCGCAATGTCATCAGTTTCATTCGTGCTATCAGAAGTAACATTGCCACAAGATTTATTCACTGTATCAATTTCACTGCTGGCTTCTTCATTCTTGTCTCTGCTTGTGCCTGATTTACTGACAAGTAGAAATTCTCGACGAATAATTTTAAAATCCATGTTCATGATGGAACCATGTTCATCTGTCCTGAAACGTGTTGAAAATGTATGATACTATTTATCACATAAAAAACAATAACAAAACAATTGCAGAAATTATACTTGTTTTCTGTTGGTGTTAACAATAAAGTCGGTACAGCAGTTTGTGAAAGGCGTTGTCTTCTCTTGTCCTCTGAAACTTTTGATTTCCTTTTTGGTGCCATGAATGAATCTTGCGTAAAATGCAATGAACATATTCTTGCTAAACATATAAAATGTAATTTTATAATATGTTCCAGAAATATAGAAAAATCATATAGGTTGGTCACAAGGGCTGGGCATGTATTTGAAATACTTTTATTTGAAAAACAGTATTGGTAAGATAATTATATTTTGTATTTTGTATTTGTCCAGAGTACATGAAAATATTTCGTATTTTGTATTTCATGAAAGCATATAAAAATATATTGTATTTCATAATTCAGTATTATATAATAACAAAAGATTATGAAAGTATTTTGTATTTTGTATTTCAAATATTAACACTGATAATCAACCTTATTATTTGAATTACAAAATACAAAAACCTTTCAATCTTTCGATTTTAAATACAAAATACGTAATACTTTTATGTAATCCGCTAAAATAAAAAATAAAAAACGCTTGTATTGCAAATAGTGTTTTAAATAAAAGTATTTCAAATATATGCCTAGCCTTGATTGGTCACTATTGTAATGCATTCTAGAGAGTCTATGTTAATGTGTGTTGTTTAGCATAGAGCAATTGATGTTTAAAATACTTAAATATAATTGAGAATGAATTTACCAAACTGTTCTTTGTGACGTACGCGATTTTCCCCGATTTTTTGCAGCCAAGTTTCACGCATAATTTGATTTTTTGGCAAGTGAAAGAAACTTATACGTTCACCGTTACATTTATCAGAAGTGCTGTAGCAGCCATTCACTATACAATAGTGTACCATCTTGTATTATTATACGTATCAATCAACGAATTTTCCAAATTTCTCTACAAATGAGAAAAACTCTTATCACTCTTAAAATACGGAATAAAGCCTGCAGCACCATACGATACAATGCTTGTTTTCCTGTTAGCATAGTGGAAGGGATAACATGAATGTGCATATGGCGAATTCGATTGGATGCACTAGTGCGCACTGGCACAGTATATACACTAGCACAACTCTCCTGATTTTGTTGGC